GGTGGTGGTGGTGGTGGTGCACGCCTTTAATCCCAGCACTTGGGAAGCAGAAGCAAGCAGATCTCTATGAGTTTGAGGATAGCCTGCTCTACACAGCCACTTCCAGGACAGCTAAGACTACACAAAGAAAGCATGTCTGGAAAAAAAAAAAAGTGTACGATGTGTGAGGACAGCACACACATGCACCATGGCATGTTTGTGGAGGTCAGAGGACAACTTCTGGGGCTGTTTTCTTTTTTTGTTGTTTGTTTATACATAGCTCTGGCTATCCTGGAACTGAGATCCGCCTGCCTCTGCCTCCTGAGTGCTGGGATTAAGGCATGTCACCATGTCCCAGCAACTTAGTTTTGCTTGTGCATACATAAACTTCAGCCGGGCGGTGGTGGTACATGCCTTTAGTCCACCTCTGGAGGCAGAGGCAGGTGGATTTCTGTGAGCTCAAGACCAACCTAGTCTACAGAGTTCCTGGACAGCCACTGTTAATGCAGTGAAACTTGATCTCAAAAAATCAGAACCAACCATTGCTCCCCTGAACCTGGAACTAATGAGCCACGATGTGAATACTGGAGCTAAACCCAGGTCCTCTGCAACAACAGTAAACACTCTTTCTGACCCACTCAGCCTTTTCTCCAGGCCTTTCAGACAAGGCTTACTTATGCCAAGTGACGGCAGTGTTTAATATCTTCCAGCAAGGAAGTCCCAGCATGTGGATCACCAGTGGAGCACTTGTCTTACATTCCATACTATTCTGGGGAGAATTACCCTCCCACCAAAATAAAGTACAGTGCTTGCCTAGTATGTACCAGACCCTGGGTTTAATGTCTAGCACGTAACAAAAACACTCAACTTTAGGGGGCTGGAGAGATGGTTCAGAGGTTAAGAGCACTGACTACTCTTCCAGAGGTCCTGAGTTCAATTCCCAGCAACCACATGGTGGTTCACAACCATCTGTAATGAGATCTGGTGTCCTCTTCTGACCTGTAGTCATACATGCTGTATACAAAAAAAAAAAAAAAAAAAAAAAAAAAAAAAAAAAGAAAAAAACACTCAACTTTAATAAACCACACAACAGAAACATTTCACCCTAAAGCCGGGCGGTGGTGGCGCACGCCTTTAATCCCAGCACTCGGGAGGCAGAGCCAGGCGGATCTCTGTAAGTTCGAGGCCAGCCTGGGCTACCAAGTGAGTTCCAGGAAAGGCGCAAAGCTACACAGAGAAACCGTCTCGAAAAACCAAAAAAAAAAAAAAAAAAAAAAAAGAAAAAGAAACATTTCACCCTACATTCGGGAAGTGCAAGCAAGAGAATCACTCAGTCACCCTTTACTACCTAGTGATTGAGGCTGGGCTGGGCTGTGAGATCACTTCTCACAAACCAACCAACCCCCCGCCCCAGAAAAAAATTAAATTTCAGAGGCAGACAGATATCTGTGAGTTGAAGACCAGACTGTTCTTCATAGCCAGTTCCAGACCCTGTATCAAAACAAACTGAACCAAACCCCACAAGAAACAAAAAACCCAAACAAGCACATTTCAGTTCCAACTGAAATAAAAAAAATCTGAGGTTGGGCACCGGCACATGATTATAGTCCCAACCTTGGAAGGCTATTTAGGAGATCGTTTTTTAAACGTTATGTGCATGAGTGTTTTGTCTGCATGCATGTCTGTGCATCACGTGCCTGCCTAGTACCTGAGGACTCCAGAAGAGAAAGGTCAGATTCCCTGAATTGGAGTTATAGACGATTGTGAGTCCCTATGTGGATGCTGAGAGTTGAACCAAGGTTCTTGAATCAAGGGAAGAGCAATCAGTACTCTTAAATACTGAACAATCCAGCTCCTGGAAGGAACACTTTTGCTCATGAATTCTAAACTAACCTGGGCAACACAGCCAGATCTTCCTTAAAAGTTCATACAAACACTCAAAAATTGTGAATATGTGACTGGTCTTAGGATCTTGGGAGTCACTGGCAATCAAGACGTCTTTGTAGCCATATGAATAGGGCTGACACATGGGCTATGTACATCGTGGTGGACTTGAGCTGAGGCAGGAGGATTCAGGGCCAGTTCTGGGCTATATGGAAGTACTAGTCTCAAAAACCAACCAAATAAATAATCCAAAACCAGAAGTTCATTTGTGTTCTGTTTTGCAGTGCTGGGAATGGAACCCAGGAACCCACGCAAGCTAGGCAAGTGCTCTACCACTGCACTGAAGTACACCCCCAGCTACAACAGGCTACACACACAGTGCAGGCTCCTGACTCGTAGTTCTGATGGTTATAAGCATAACATGGTCAAATGCTCCATGGTTAAGACCAGTCCTTCAGCTTTTCTCCACCTCCAAGACCAGAAAGGCTTTCAATTAGCTTCAGCTATTGGGACAGACAGAGCGAGAAGGGCTTCCTACAAAACCACACTGAATGGATTTCTCATCCCCTGCACCTGGCTAACAGTTTTTTGCCTGAGCCTGGAAACCGGGGGCTCCCTGGGTTTCATCTGGAAACCTCGGACTGCACCAGTGAGTCGGCCTCGCTAAGCGCCAGTCTATCCTTTTTCTCCTTTTGCAACACCTGCTCCTCCCACAGCGCCTGGTCCACTTGGTCATCGGTGAGCACGACGGGCTTGTACTTCTCCTCGAACAGCCTCTCGTTGGCCTCGGAATGCAGCTGGTGGCGGCCGACGACGCGGAGGTGCGCAGGCAGGTGGAGAAACTCGTCATCGTTGATGTCGCAATCGTGCATGCGGTTCTCCAGGATCCACCAACGGCCCATGAACCCCACGTCGAGGACGCGGCCGGGGAAGTCGATCCAGCGTGGCTGCAGGTAGCGGCAGCGGGCCTGGTAGAGACTGGCCTGGGCATCGAAGGGCGCCTCGTACACCAGCGAGCAGAGCCCCAGGTTCACGTGGCGCAATCGCCCGCGGCCCCTCAGCCACAGCAGGCGCTGCAAGAACGCTTCCGAGTGGCGGTTGCGCGTCGCCGGCGCCAGCAGCAAGAGGGACCCCGATGCGTCGAGCAAGGCCTCCTCGAAGGTCGCCTCGCTGGGCGCTAGGGCGCAGCACGCCGCGGCGCCGCCCAGCAGCCCCACGTAGACGGCGGCGCGGCCCGGCCGGGCCCGCGCTGCGGTCGCCGCGTCTCCGCACGCCTCGGCGTAATCCCGAAGCAGCGCGCGGGCCCAGGTGCCTGAGGGGAAGAAGCGCTGCGGTGACCCCAGTGTCCGGCCACTCGGGCCCCCACCCTGCCGCCTCCGGCCCCTACTCACCCAGTCGTGCCCACAACCCTGGCCTTGCCGCCACCGTCGCGGTGCCACTCGCCTCTTGTCCTGCTTCACTGCGCCCTCCGGACCAGAATCTCTTTGGAGCCGCTGTCGCCATCCTCTTCCGGTGGTCCGTTGGCCGAGTGGAAATGCATAGTGTCGGAAAGAAAAGGGCTGGAGAGTGGCTCCTGCGCAGGCGCAAGACACCGGAAGTAGTTTCTCAGTGACCCCCCACTTAAATACGGGCTAGCGCCGGATGTTGCCGTTGCGTGGAGGGTGGGCCCTGACGGGTGGGCTGGCCGCGCGCACGCGCACGGAGCACGGGCCACGCCAGCGCAGGTACCCAGGTGAGGAGGGCGGGGTGCACCTGCGGGCCCTGGCGTGGAGCGGGGCCCTCTCGGGTTAGGCTCCGGGCAGGACTCGCGGCGGAAGCGTCAGTCCTGAGGAGGGCTGGGGACTGATGCAGTTCTGTTCACAGAGCGCGATGCGGTGACACCGCTGAAGAATCATGGCAGCGGCTGACGAACTGGCCTTCCATGGTGAGTGGGGCCCGGAGGTGGCCTGAGCTCCTACTGTCCTAGGCTAGAACCACGGGCAGCTGGGACCCAGACCCCAGGATGAGCCTGGGGTTCATTGCGGACTCAATCCCTGCCATCACCATGGACACAGGCACAGCAGAGCCTGAGTCTGCCCAGGACCTAAGTTAGGTCTTAGGGGAGGGCAGTGAGGCCCCCCCAGCCCAGGCGGGTGAGCAGCGGGCCAAAGGGTTTTCCCGACTCCAAACACCTTTGCCCATATTGCCTCTTCGCAGAGTTTGAGGAAGCCACAAACCTCCTGGCAGAGACCCCAGATGCAGCCACTACAAGCCAGAGGGATGCGCTGACCTCCCGGGAACACGTGGCTGTGCTTGTGGGATCAGACATTGGTTATGGAGCCGACGAGGTGGAGGAAGAGGGTGACAGTGACAAGACATCGGTGAGTCTCCGGCCCCACGCCCTGCCTCTGCCCTTACCCTGGCCAAGCAGGCAGGTTCTGAGAGTCTTGTCTTGTAGCTTCTACGGGAAGAAAAGCCACAGCCAGGGTTCTGGACGTTTGACTATTATCAGGGCTTCTTTGATGTGGACACCTCCCAGGTAAGGCCTGGGGCTTGGTGGAAGGGCTTGGAGTTGCCTGGGGTTCAGCCACTCTATTTGGGGCACTGAATTTGGATAGAATGCGTGTTGTGGAAGGGCTGGAAAGCAAGAATAGGTTGCAAAGCCAGGGTCTTGGCATCTTTCCCAGTCAGGCCTCCTGTGTAGCTAGGGCCACAACCGGCACCGCTAGGCCTGAATGCAGGCCCCTCTAATGAGCTGAAGTTTGTTTGGGTTTTGGCCCGAGGTGATGGGAAGTCATGAAGACTTTAGAACAGGCGAGGAATAAGTAGACTGATATGAATGTGGAACACAGGCCACCTCTGATAAACCAGATCTACTGAGAGGGCACAGCCTGGAGATGGAGGGAGGACATCTAGAACTTAGGGACTGTCCTTACTGTGGCTGGGAGGAGAGGCTGCACGAAGTTGAGAGAGGGACTGAAGAGAGATGGCTCAGCGGTTAAGAGCACTGGCTGCTCTTCCAGAGGACCCGGGTTCAATTCCCAGCACCCACATGGCAGCTCCAACTGTCTAACTCCAGTTCCAGGGGATCCGACACCCATGGCAAAACACCAATGCACATAAAATAAAATAAAAAGAGAAGTTGAGAGAAAGGTGGCAGGACTGTAAGCCCACATTCAGAGTGGCGATATGTTCAGCAGGAGCTAGGGGCCAAGACCACAAGCCATAGAGACACCCCATGAACAGCCTGGAGCGGACAGCTGAGCTTGTTCAGTTAGGATGTAGGCAAGTTAGAAGGCTAGAGAGGTCATGCCTCTCAGAAGGCTAGGATTCTCATTCTGGACCCTGGCTTTGCTCTCCAGGTCTTGGACCGGATCAAAGGCTCGCTGCTGCCTCACCCTAGCCACAACTTTGTGCGGTACCATCTTAGAAATCGGCCTGACCTATATGGTAAATAAGGCTGTATGTTTGACTCAATGGAGTATTCATTCAACAAACATGGAACTGTGCCAGGCCCTGAGCGGGGCAGTCAGTAAGAGTAAAATTTGTGTTTAGTTAAGGGAGACCCCAAGACAGGACGCAGAAGGTTACTACCTCCTAACTTAGGGCTAACTTAGAGGAAGAGTGGTATCATTGGTTTAAGGAAGGCAGGAACGCCTCTGAGTAGGCAAGTAAGTTTTGTTGACGTTGGTGGGGAGAGGCTTAGAAGAGGACCCAGAAAGTTTCTGGGCCCCATGGTGGAAACACAGCTGAGTTGCATAGGTCACTGGAGTGTAAGGAACAGTGGGAGGTCATGGGTAGAGGGTGAGTATATTGGTCCCACATGCTGGTGAGAAGGGATCTTGGTGAAGAAATTTTAGGCTCTCCTCTGGCACTGTTGAAATTAAGGGTAGAAGCCATCAAGAGCAGGCAGGGGACAGACATTACAGTGGAGGCTGAGTGCAGAATGGTTGGTTCTAGAGCATTTCCCACAGCCAAGAGGAATAGGGAAGGCCAGGGTGGCTTTCTACCCAGTCTACCAAGAGCAAGTTGCCATCGGTACACGGGAAAAGCTGGGCAGGTATGAGGAGAAGATCAAGGGTGTAGGGCTCAGGACACCCGTGTGAAGTGTGCAGTTCAGTGCCCTGGAGCGATTTGGAAGTGGACAGCTACAAGTGGCATTCACGAAGCCTCAGGTTTGGACAAGACCCTGCCCACAGTGGAATAGTACCAGTCCTATTCTACCTACAAAGAATGTTGTCAGAGAAGAGGGAAAAGCCAAGTGCTTGAGGCACTTTGGAAGGTATGTCCAGAAAGATAGGATGAGGCCAGAGGCAGCTCCTGTCACCAGTGATCTGGAGAGTCAAATGGGGTCTGGGGTCTTACCACACTTGAAACAGGACATAGCCACCTTTCCTGGGACTGATAGACCTGGGACTCCATGTCCTCCTTTGCAGGTCCCTTCTGGATCTGTGCCACTTTGGCCTTTGTCCTGGCGGTTACTGGCAACCTCACTTTGGTGCTTGCACAGAGGCGGGACCCCTCCATCCACTACAGCCCCCAGTTCCACAAGGGTAAGCAGGTGGGTGGGCTCAGCTCCTGGCTGCTAGGGCCCCAGGGCATGCAGTGACTGCCCACATTGCATTCCTAGTGACAGTAGCAGGCATCACCATCTACTGCTACGCGTGGCTAGTGCCGCTGGCACTGTGGGGCTTCCTCCGGTGGCGCCAGGGCACAAGGGAGCGCATGGGGCTGTACACCTTCCTGGAGACTGTTTGTGTCTATGGCTACTCACTCTTTGTCTTCATCCCCACCGTGGTGAGTGTGGCTTGGCTCTGGGGACTGGCGGGCGCTGCATGGCCCACCCTGTATGGTGACCAGCCACACTTGTCACACTAGGTCCTGTGGCTTATCCCAGTGGAGTGGCTGCAGTGGCTCTTTGGAGCATTGGCCCTGGCTCTGTCAGCTGCTGGGCTGGTGTTCACCCTGTGGCCTGTCGTCCGCGAGGATACGAGGCTGGTGGCTGCAGCACTGCTGTCCGTGGTGGTACTGCTTCACGCCCTCTTGGCTCTAGGTTGTAAGGTAGGGTCCATGTGGTCCTCAGCAGGGCTGTGGGGTACGGCTTGCTGCCACCCAGCTGCACATTCACCCTCAATTCTCGCTGCAGCTGTACTTCTTCCAGCCACTGCCTCTGGAACATGTGACACCAGCACCCCAAGCCACACCTCTGTCTTCCAGTGTCCTGCTGCCCACCTCAGCCCGGTCCATGACAACCTTCTAGGAAGGCCAGGTCTACAGGTGAGGGACAGTTTCTGTTGTGGATAAGGGCTCACCTTCTTTCCCTGGGGTCACTCCTAGGAGTCTCTCTTTTCCAGGCCAAACTCAAGGGGCTATTACCTGTCCTGCCCTCCCTGTGAAGATTGGAGGATTCTTGGACCCTGGAGACAACCCTGCTACTTTGCAGGCTTTTCTTACAAAGCAAACACTTTTATTTTCTATGCAAAGGTGATCCAGAGAATTTATATAAAGGTGGGGAGGGGCAGCCGAGCAGGGAGTATTACTGATGGACAGAAGCGCCCGGTTTCCCAGACTGCCTGTGGGCCCTCTGTTTCCCTGACAGGTCAGGGGGTGGCACAGGGCAGGTCCAGCCGTTGCCAGGAGTACCTGTGGTGGGCATGGGCCCAGCCTGGGCTCTGGCCACTGAGGTGGGGACTCTAGGGCAAGGGGACAGGGGGGAAACTGCCCTTCCTTACTTGTTTGCTTTTCTTCTTTTTCTGTCTGGAGGGAGAGGCCCTACTAGGCCCCTTCCCAGGGAAGCTGTCTTGAGAGGAAGAGGTGGAGCATGGATGTGGAGTGCAGCGCACAGGCCTATGTTAGCTATCAGGAGAGGATGCCCTCCTTCCTTCTGTGACAGATCCTTGAGGTTTTCGTCTGCCCCAGTGGTCTTGGGTGACTTTCCCTCTGGGCTGCCTGTTTCAGCTTTTGGTGGAGGGGACCTTCGGGACTCAGGACAGTAGCAGGAAGCAGGGGCTAGAGGCCTTTGGACAGCTGGGTGTTTGTACATTCAAGTGTGAGGTGAACCCTTTGGTGAGAGGGGGTTACGCCCGCCCTGAAGGCTCGACAGGGCCACCCCTCACCTAGAGCCTCTGGGCCTAGGGACAGGGGCTGCTGGCTGGGCCCGGCCAGCCGGGTTTCTCAGAGGGTCTGTGGGTTGACACTGGTTCTTTTCGTAAAAAAATAAAATTAAAAAAAGCAGCATGTCACGCCCATGGTGACCATGTGGCCTGGTAGTTGAACGTGAGGTCCAGCTGGCTGTGCCGCCACCCCAGGTGAGGGGCAGGCGCAAGGACGGGTTGGGAGATGGGTGTTGCCAGGTCTTGTGGTAGCAGCTGCTGACCTCCTCCTGCCTGGTCAGGCGCAGCTGTGTGTGTGAGGTGGGGTGGGAGGGGGCTTGCCTCTTCCAGCAGATGTCAAAGCCAGGTCAGTGGAGAGGGCAGAACTGGATGAGGGCTGCCCCGACAGGATCTCATGTAAAATATGGCAGCGACACGCGCTCGGGGCCAAAGGGTGGGCTGGGGGTACTTGAGGGCAGCGACGACATCGTGTACAAAAGTGTCCAAGTTCCCATAGCAAAGAGGGCTGTGACCGGGTGTTCACGCTTCTCCAGAACAAGGGGGACAGCCACCAGCTGCACTGGGTGTGGACTTCATTTGGTTTCCTGGTGCTGTCAGTGCGCAGCGGTGTTGCGGCTGGAGGCACCTAGCTCCCGTAGTGCATGGTGTTGGTTGGGATGGACATGGGTGAGGCCATGGAGATGGCGGGGCCACCCATGGTGAACTGGTTGTTGACTGCATAGTGGGCACTGGAGCCACCGCTGCCTCCTTGGGCACCTGAGGAGCCTGTGGGGCAGGTCATGGGCACTGAGGAGCCAGCATGACCCCTAAGCCTGCCTGGCCCCCACTGGTAGCTTGAGCGTGTGCGCAGGCCAGGCGGGAGGCCCCCCGCCCACGGCCCCGCTACCCTGTTACCTTGGACAATGCCCGTGCTCATTATGGAGCCCATCCGGGAGTGGGTGTGATTGACAATCCCTGTGTTGGCTGCGCAGCGACAGGGAGGAAAGAAGGAGGAAGGGAGACGTCACCGCCCCCAGCCTGCCCACTCCACTCTTATGGTTGGTGTGGGAAGGGCAGATGGAGTGGTGACAGACCAAGGTGGAGAGGCACACAGGGCTAGAGTCCCCAGGAAGAGCAAGAGGTGACCACGACAGCGACAGTGGTGGCAGAGGACCAAGCACTGGCTATTGAACTGGCCACTGGCACATCCCAGTCCTCCCCTGCCATGCCATAGATCTTAGGAGACACTCACCTAAGGGAATCAGGTTGTTGTGACCCACACTAGAGCCGCCGGCAATAACACTGCTCAGGTCATAGGCAGTAGGCATTCCTGACCAGAAAGTGGAGTGTCAGGGGTGGAGCAAGGCAAGCTCTGGGGATGTGGGGTCTCGGCTGCCACCACGGGCCTCCAGCTGTCTGGAAATAGCATTCAGACTCACCGGCCACAGCTACCCCGCTGCTGAGATTGTAGGTGCTTCCTGTGTTCCACATATTCTCGGAGGGAGATGTGTAGTGTGAGCCAGGTGGGGGTGATGGGGTCGTGCCCGTGTACCTGTGGCAGAGATTCACCGTAGGTAGAGCTGTGGGGCTCCTGGCTCCCTCCCTCCCCCCACTAGAACCCTGCTACCTGAAAAAGGGGTTCTTCAGGTCCAGCAGGTTACTGGATTTGGAGCCCGTCTGATCTACCTGGGCCACAATACTGATGTCATAGCTCTGTCTGGGGGATAGAGAAGGTGGCTGTGAGGCAGCTGGGCTGGTGGACACCTGTGCCACTGCCCTATCCAGCCCTGGATGGGTGGCAGGGTGCACCTTTTGTTGGCAATAAGCAGACATGTCCCTGAGAGCGTGTCCCCGGCCTTGGCAAACAACGGTGACTGGAAGAGGCACCGGACCTGGTACCAGTGGGTCAGGGGCTCTGTTGGGGCTGTGGATAGCCACACGGTCATTCTGTCAAGAAGAGATGGGTGTACTTCACTGGGTGGCACCACCACTTGTGCCACTACCCACACACTTGGGTATCACCCCAAGGGCCTTCCCTGAGTGCTCCCCTGGGGTCTCAGGGCTAAGACTGGCTGGACTCCAGGCAGGCACAAGCAAGCATGTGCACAGCCAATCCGTGGCCATGGGGTCCCTACTCACCCTGACACCCACGCACTGAGACAAACACACGTAAGGGACAGGCACTCAGGGTAGCTGCTGAGGAAATGACAAGCACACGCCTCCCCCATGGCTCCCCCTGGGTTCTGGATAGGAAAAACCACCTGAGGAGTCATGACACAGCCAGGCCTGGGGCCACAGCTGCAAAGAGCCCCCGCAGTGCCATACTTACATGGAGCCAATAAAAGCAACATCGAACCAGAACGCCAAGCCATGGACCAGCCCTGAATGCAGCATGTGGAATTTGAATGGGATTTCTATCCTGCAAGGCAAAGGGCATGGGCTTGCTGGAGAAGCCCAACCTAACTGAGGAGAGCAGGAGGGGTAGCTGGGGGAACAGCAGCTGGCCGTGAGTGCCTAGGGGGTGGTGAGTACGTGGCTGTGAGGACTGCAGGGTGGGAGCATGGCGGCTGGTGGGGGCGGGCAGTGGTGGCCATGGGTGCCCAGGGGATGAAGGGTACCTGTGCAAATCGCCTTCTTTGGCTTCTAAGAAGTTCACTGTGTACTTGACAGATTTGGCCATCAGGATCCGGATATCAAATGTGTCCTGCAAGATGACAGGTGTGACCCAGCTTGTGCTGCAATGCCATGGAAGAAGGGGAAAGCCTCAATGCCTCCCCTTGTCCTCCAGGCCTGGCCATGACACTAACTTCTGCTATCTGGCTAAATCCAGCTTGCCCTTCTCAGACTTGCTAGGCATGACACCAGAGACAGCAGACTACTCCCCTCAAAATGTTTTATTAAGTTCAAAGCCAGCCTGGTCTACATAAGTGAGTTCCAAGCCAGTCAGAGCTACATAGTGAGACCCTGTCTCAAAATGAAAGCTGGGCGGTGGTGGCAAACACCTTTAATCCTAGCATTTGGGAAGCAGAGGCAAGCACATCTCTGATTGAGGCCAGCCTGGTCTACAGAGTGAGTTAATTCCAGGATAGTCAGAGCTACATAGAGAAACCTTGTTTCAAAAAAAAAATAAAAACCCAAACCCCCCAGCCCTGGCACTTAAGTTTAACCTATAGAAACACATATACAAGGACAAGTAATACAGTTAGTGGCTCATTGTTTCAATTTCTTTCTTTTTTTTTTTTAAGACAGCGTTTCTCTGTGTAACAGATCTGGCCATCCTGGAACTTGCTTTGTAGAACAGGCTGGCCTCGGACTCACAGAGATCCATCTGTCTCTGCCTCCTGAGTGCTGGGATTACAGGCCTATGCCACCACCTTAGGCTTTTTGTTTTTGTTTTTAATTTTCTTGAGACAGGGTCTCCTATCAAGACCAGGTTTGGCTGGAACTCAGAGATCCACTTGGATTAAAATCATCTGCCACCCAGCCTATATAATATTCTTAAACAAACAAACAAACAAACAAATTCAGAGTTCGTAGTGCAACAGTGAAATAGCACATGAATAACATAAAAGTCCTGGGTGCACCCAGGCCAACGAAAGAGCCTGTTTCAAGGTGAAGACACCCAAGGTTATCCACCACACGTGCCATCATGTCCTTCCATTTTGGGGGTCGTGGTGGTGTCACTGTTTAATTAAACCATGATTGGTCCAGCATAGACATCAGAGCACACAAAGAATGAAAGGGAGGCTCAAGAGGCTGGCTGGTGTGCTGGAGAGATGGCTCAGTGGTTACTCTCTTCCAGAGTACTGGAAAGAAAAAAAAAAAAAGCACTGGCTATTCTCTTCCAGAAGACCCAGGCTCGATTCCCAGCACCCACACGGCAGTCTCTATAACTCCAGTTCTCTTTTGATCTTCCTGGGCTCTCGTCCTAACAGTGGCATACAGACACTCATGCAGGCAGAACACTCATACACATAAAACGGTTCTGGGGTGAACTCATGAACTCAGTCCTCAGGTTTGCACAGCAACAAGCAATTTTCCAGCTGAGCCATCCTCCCATGCTGACTTTGTATTCCTGATCATTCTGCCTCAGTCTCCTGAGGAGTGGGGACTCCAGTGTGTACAGCATGAACTTGGCTGTGCTTTTTTTCTTTCTCATTTTTGCTGCTAAAGAGATTGAAACCTGGAGCTGGGTGGTGGCGCACACCTTTAATCCCAGCACTGCGGACACAGAGGCAGGCAGATCTCTGTTGTGAGTTCCAGGCCAGCCTGGTCTACACAGAGAAACCCTATGGGGGGGTGGGGTTTGAATCATGTGCCTCATGCACATGAGACAAGCACTCCACACTGAGCTAAGCCTTAACAACCTTAGGATGACAATATGACCGCAACCCCTATATTCCCAGCTACTCAGCAAGTGGTGGTACCTTCTCACTTGGGCCTAAGCTAAGCAACATACAGAGATCTCGAGTAGAAAACAAAAACAGGAGCCTAGCAGCTCATGCCTTTAATCCCAGCTCTCTGGGGGCAGACGCATGTGGATTTCCGAGTTTGAAGCCAGCCTTCTCTTTATATAGTGAGTTCCAAGCCAACAGGGCCACATAGTGAGACTGTTTCACAAAACAAAAAGAGAATTACCCAGCTGGTTCAGCAGGTGAAGTCACTTGCTGTGCAGGCCTGGCTATTTGAGTTCAATCCCTGGAGCCCATGTAAAAGTAGAGAGAACCAACATATATGTTGCCAAGCAACATACAAAAATTTAAAAGATGAATTCAGAGTGTGGTGGGCCACACCTTTAATCCCAGCACTAAGAAGGCAGAGACTGGAGTTTGAGGCCAGCCAGGGGTACACACAGTGAGACCCTGTGTCAAACTAACAAAAACAAAAAAAGGTGAGTTCAGCCTCAGTGGCACATGCCTGTACATTCAGCAATTGGGAGCAATTGGAAGGTTAAACCAGCCTGGGCTACAACAGTGAGTTCCAGGTCAACGTAAGTTAGTCAGACTGCTACCTAAAGAAACAGAAGAGAAAGCCAAAGAGCAAGTAAGACATTGAAGAGAAGGGAACTGAACTGGAAGACTGAGCACTTGAAAAGAGTTTCAGATTCATCTGCCAGATGTGGTGACACACCTGTAAGGCCAGTGTGCACTGTGAAGTGTGAGAGTCTCTAAAGGACAAAGAATCATCTTGCTGAAGTGACTGACTACTGTACATACAACTAGATTCCAGAGGAGAAAGAGACGGGGAGACAGAAATCTCACTAAGAGAGACGACACACTGTCTCAGAGTCTCCCAGACTAGTCAAAGAAAAAGACATTAAGGATTGGGGAGACTGAATATCTTCTACAGACCAGTAATTAATTATATTAAGTGTAAGCAGGCTAAGCACTGGAATTAAAAGATAAAACATTTCATGTTCATCAAAAGTAGAAACTCTGGGTGGTGGTGGCACACACCTTTAATCCTAGCACTTAAAGAAGCACATGGATCTGAGTTTCGAGGCCATCCTGGTCTACAGAGTGAGTTCCAGGAAAGGCGCCAAAGCTACACAGAGAAACCATCTCCAAAAACCAAAGGAAAAAAAAAAAAAGACACAACTGAAGAAAATGTCCTTGCACTATTATTGGGTAAAAACAGACTAAAACTTTAAAGCAAATGGTAATATAATGATTTCATAATGACAAAAGGACTAATCCAACAGGATGTTATAATAATTCTAGACCTATATGCACTTAATAACACACTTTCAAAATATATAGAACAAAAACTATAAGGCCGAAATAGAAAAAAATTAGGAAAAATATCCCAATCAAAATCATGAAGAGAAAAAAAAAAAACAAAAACACAGCCTAAGTATTTAGTAAATGAGGTGGGGGGAGGGGGTGTCAGGCCCAGTACACAATTTAATCCCAGCGCTTGAAAGGACCTTTGTGATTTCAAGGACAATTTGAGTTCTTCATAGTGACACCCTGTCATAAAGAAGGTAATTAGACTTTGCCTCTGCCTTCTAAAGTCTGCACTACCATACCCTGCTAACATTCATTTCTTCCAAGCATACACAAAGCATTAGCCGAGCACTGCACACTGGACTTTGAGCAAGTCTCAACTGTCCAAGGTCTGCAAATATTCAGTGCATGTTCTTTGATGACAGAGAAATGGAGATACAGTAATATACCAATTATGCTATACTTTGAGGAAAAGCTTAATAAATATGCATCTGTAAGCACACATTTCAGAATTAAGACTTTTTTCTCCCCCCCTTTCCTTTTTTTTTTTTTTTGGATTTTTTGGATAGTTTCTCTGCGTAGCTTTCGCTGTCCTGGAATTCACTCCGTAGACTGGGCTGGCCTCGAACTCACAGAAATCCACCTGCTTCTGCCTCCCAAGTGCGAAAATTAAAGATGTGCGTCACCACTGCCCTGCTTAAGACTTTTTTCTTGATTCAGGCAAAGCTCTGAGTTCCAGGCCAGGCAGTGTACATACTGAGAGCCTGTCTCAAATAAATAAAATTTAATTATTTTAAAAAAAATTTTGAGAAAGATTTACTTATTTGATGTCTTTGAAATTTTATTTCTTTTCTTTGGTTTTTTTGGGTTTTTCGAGACAGGGTTTCTCTGTGTAGCTTTGTGCCTTTCCTGGAACTTGCTTTGGAGACCAGGCTGGCCTCGCACTCACAGATGAAATTTTATTTCTATTAGACATATGTAAATGCACCTGGCACTGGATTCCCTAGAACTGGAGTTATGGGTGTAAGCCACCACGTCGGTTCTGGGAATTGAACCTGGCCCTCTGCAAGAGTTACAAGTGCTCTTAAGTGCTAAGTCATCTCTCCAGCCCCCAATTTACTAATTTTTATTTTCGATGTGTTTTCTCGTATGGAAGTATACCATGTACATGCAATGCCTGTGGAAGCCAAGAGAGCATCCGATCCCTAGAACTGGAGCTGCCACGGTCCACTGCAAGAGCCACTAGTACTCTCTACTCTTCTTTGAAAATAAACAAAACTAATTTATGGGTCTGGAGAGATGGCTCAGAGGTTAAGAGCACTGGCTGCTCTCAGAGGACTTAGGTTCAATTCCCAGCACCCACAAGGCAACTCACAACCCCTGGAACTCCAGTCCCAGGGGACCCAACACCCTCTCCTGGCGTCTGTGGGCACTGCACACATGTAGCGCACAGACATAAATGCAGGCAAAGCACCTAACCATGAAAAAAAAAAAATATTTAGTTACTTTACGTGAGTGGACTTTTTTTTTCTTCCAGACAGGGTTTCTCTGTGTAGTCCTGGCTGTCCTGGAACTCTGTAGACCAGGCTGGCCTCGAACTCACAGAGATCCACCTGCCTCTGCCTCCTGAGTGCTGGGATTAAAGGTGTGCGCCACCACTGCCCAGCTTGTGTGTGGATCTTTTATCTGGATCTAAGTTTATACACCACAGTGTCTGATGCCCCATTATGGATGGCTGCCATGTGGATGCTGGGAATTGAACCCAGGTCCTCTGGTGTCTTCTAGAAGAGTAGCCAGTACCCTTAACCACTGAGACATCTCTCCAATTTTTCTTTCCTTAATTGCATTTGTTCTCTCTGTCTCTTTCTGCCCCTCTTTCTATGTATGTTCACTTGAGTGCAGGTGCCCTCAGAGGCCCCTGGACCTGAAGTTACAGGCCACTGTGAGCCATCTGATATGGTGCTGGGAACCAAACTCAGACCCTCTGCAAGAACACTGGGTGCTTGTAACTGCTGAGTCATCTCTCCATTCCTGTTACTTTTACCTTTTACCATGTTTTTATGAGAAAGATCCCAGGCCAGCTTGGATCTCTTGATTGCCATGAATGCAGGGGTTATAGGCATGGACCATAATGCCTATTGAGATTCTTTTTTTTTTTTAAGATTTATTTATTTAATATACACTGGTGTTTTGCCTGTATATACTCATGTGTGTGAGTGTGTCAGGGTCCCTGGAACTGGGGTTACAGTTGTGAGCTGCCATGTGGGGGCTGGGAATTGAACCCGAGTCCTTTGGAAGAACAGGTAGTGCTCCTAACTGCTGAGCCAGCTCTCCAGCCCACCTCTTTAGTTCTTGATTACCGAACAATGGCTTTATGTAGTATTCAATCAAACGAGTTTCTACAGAGCCACCCTGCTGGTTGGTGCATGTGCTCTGCAGAGGGAGTGAGGGTGAGAGAAGCAGGCGTTTCTAGATTCCAGAGCTTGGGTGAGGCCTTGGTGAAGCCCTGACCTCATCAGTCCAGCAGTGCCCTGTACACACTACTCACCACCACAGGTTGCCGGAAGTACTCATCCACAGCGGCGCCTCGGAGGGCCGACAGGTCCACTCCGTGGAAGGATGGCTGGTACCTGTGGAAATCCCCAACCCCACCCTGAGGTCACCAGTAGCAAGAGAGACAGGTGGAGTCACCTGCTTTCTTTCCTAGCTGGCTCTCATCTAGCCCATGTCCTTCAGATCCTACTGAGGGGAAGAGGAAAAAGAGGAGAGGCAAGGGCCCACCTGAGGATTGGGTCCATCCCCAAGCAGGCAGGCCCCATGGCCTGGCCGGGACACCCAGGGCGCACTCACCAGAAGTTGGCTTTGGTGAACTGCTCCATGTAGAGCTGTTCATCGGTGAAGGGTGCGAGGTGGACGTCACCAATGGTGGGGAACATGTTTCCTGGGAGTGGGGGAGGGGGCAGGGAGGAGTGCTGTTGTCAGGGCAGCACATCCTGCAAGGCTGGGTAGAGCTTCCAGAGTACCCTGAGATTCCCCAATAACGGCTCAACCGACCGACCGACCTACCTACCTACCTTCCTTTCTTCCATCTGTCAATCATCCATCCATCCATCCATCCATCCATCCATCCATCCATCCATCCATCCCACAGCATGCAGCACCTTTGGTCCGTGGCCTCTAGAAATGTGTGAACTGTACCATAGCTAGAATCAAAACTGAAGTAGCTTACTGCTTTGTTTTGTGGTGCTGGGGGTGGAACTGGTGACCCTGAGTTTAACTCTCAGACATCATTTTTTTTTTTTTTTGCTTTAGTTGTTTTCAGGTGGGGGTAGGGGAGGGGTGGGGTGGGAAGAAAGGAGAATAAGCTCACATTTAACCCAGGCAGCCTTCAACTCCTGCCTAAGCCTTCACCAAGTGCTGGAATGACAGGTGTACACCATCACCCTGGCTTGTCTGTCTTTCTGCACCAGGCTCCCAGATGCCGGGATCTTAAGAGTGTGCCACCATATCCAGATTAGTCCTGAGAACAGTGGCCTTTTTCTTTCTTTCTTTTTTAATTTTTTTGTTTTTTGAGACAAAAGTTTCTCTGGGTAGCCCTGGCTGTCCTGGAACTCACTCTGTAGACCAGGCTGGCCTTAAACTTACAGAGACCCACCTGCCTCTGCCTCCCAAGTGCTGGGATTAAAGGCATATGGCACCACCTCAGAGGCTTTTTTCTTTGGTGATTTGATTTTTCAACAATGATCTACAAATTAGTTCAAAATCTCCCTATGCAGGGCTGGAGAGATGGCTCAGAGGTTAAGAGCACTGGCTGCTCTTCCAGAGGTCCTGAGTTCAGTTCTCAGCACCCACATGGTGGCTCACGACCATCTATAATAAGATCTGGTGCCCTCTTCTGGCCTGCAGGCACATATGCAGGTGGAACACTGTACATAATAAATAAATAAATCATTAAAAAAAAAAAATCTCCCTATGTACAGCCAAGGCCCTTGGATCAGTTGACTAGGGTCAGTTGTCTCCTACCAGCTTCTATGTTCATCAGCACACTTGCTCTCATCTCACTGGCCCTCCCCCATCGCAAGAAGTAAATGGGCCTGTCCTGATGTCCCAACATTAGCACTGGGAAGCAAGAAAGGGCGTACTAGAGCCTCTTGGTGTCCAGTGTGCCTGGGCCGCTCCAGACAGAGTGTTTGGGGGGGTTAAGCTACACCATTCAGTAACGACTGCCCAAATACCAGGCTTGGCATGGGACTGAAACGTAAGTAGAGGGTCCTCCTCTGAGACTCCCTGGTGGCAGGGAGAAGCAGGTACGAGGAAAGTAAAGACTGCACAGGATGAACACATGGCCTGCAGATGTGGGCCTCCCTCACAATCCACACTAGGTTAGAATGCTCAACTGTGGCCATGGGGTGATAGAGGCAAGTGGGTATCATGTAAGGAACCCATTTCTGGCTCCTTTAATCCCCAAAGGGGCTTCTGAGTGGTTGAAAACCACTGACAGGAGTCTCTAGCCTAACCCCTGCCTGGCCTCACAAAAGGGCCAGCTGTTTTCACCCCACAGGCTTAGCCACTAATAGAGCTAGAGGGGAGGGAAGGGAGACCCAGGGCAGCTGCTGGACAGCCTAGAGTCCTATTCTTACACACACGGAGAACTGTGGCCATACCCTGCCTACAGGAACTGAGCCAATCCTCCTAGGCAGAGGAGTCATGGAATCAACATTCACCAAGGCTATCAGCAGCACCTGCCTGGTTGCTAATCTCTACTTGAGGCTACTTCTAGACCAGGGTCCCTGAGCTCCCACAAATGCATATACACCTATGACACCCCCGAACTCATCAGAGAAATGGACTGCACTACTGTGCTCAGAGCAGAGTAGAGATCCCAGTACAAACTGCCACTTGGTGCAGGAACTCAACCAGAGGTATGGTATGGACAGTCAGCCAGGAACATGGACAGGAAACGAAATATATCCACAGGCCCTTATACATGTACGTACACCTACAGAGGTGTACACACACCCATATGCCTTCACACACACCATACCTTCAGTGCACATCTACCTGCCTATTTACCCTCAGATCTCACACCTTCACACACATATCTACCACCCCCATACTTTAACATGTAAACACACACATCCTTAAACACCTATAAAACATCAGACACCCCACTCCCTCAAATATGCACACATATCTACACCACCCATAGACCCTCACCATCCACACTTTCACCCAAGAACATACATCCATAAACCTGTGCATACACCTTCATGTGAACACCACACACCTGTACATCCTCATCCACACCCCTGTATATATTTCCATACATCACTACACACAGAGATTACCTGCAACCTTAGGCATGTGCTCATTCCCACCTACCTACTTCTTAGCTCTTAGGGGAGTGGGCTGGCCACATAGCCCTGGGCAAGGTTTCCAGTTTGGAGATAAACAACCCTTAGGAGACCACCAGTGACAGAACTGAGTTCAGCCCATCCCTGGACTTCCATCTCTGTCCTATTAGGGGCGGGTCAGTGGTCTACAGGGGGCTTGTCAATACCAGGTCGGGTGAATGGAACTCTTGTTTGGGGTCTGAGGATCCAGAAGCCATAGCCAGCAGGTTCGGTTAGGGTAGGAGGAAAGAAACCCCCAACTCCCTGTATGTAGATCACTGACAGACAAGAGGACAAGGGGCCACCTACAGGCTGCTGGTAGCAGTGGGCTTGCCCAGGGGCCAACTACTGTGGTTGAAAGGCCCAGTGCTCCTGAGCATGGGACACTCACCACTGGGCTTCAGGTACTTTTTGGCATGGAGGTAGCTCTCGAGCATGCGTTCATTGAAGAGCATGTAGCCCATAGGCTCTGAGATGATAATGTCCACTTGCTCAGGCAATGAGACCTCCTCTACCTTGCCAGGGATGACCACGATGCGGTCCGTCAGGTTGTTACTCTTCACCAGGACCTGTAGGAGGTGGGAGAAGGCTTCCTGTACTTGCTTGGTATAGGTCCTCCTCAACCCCATAAATGGCTCATGAATGGTCTCTGCTCATACCTCTGCTTTCCCTGTGGACATCCTAATGATGGGGAAAGAGTTCCTGTGGCCCAGCTCTCAGACACCAATGTCCCTGCTGCTCGGGGAAGTGCTCACCCCAGAGCGAGAGCCTAGTCCTGGCTGGTTGTCCTTCACACCCAGTGAGGGCCTGACAGAGGGAGGTGTGTCAAGGAACTCACATGTTACGAGAAGGAAGAGGCAGGAGAGACTGAACTCACATGGAAGCCCTGTGAAAGTGCTGCACTGAGGCTCACAGTCCCAGATCTGCAGCTAGGGAACGTCCAGGAGCTAGCTGGCAGTGCCCTGTTTGTATGAGATATAGGCTGTGGGAAGGGGAGCCAAGCTTATGAATGTATCCACACAACAGTCTGGAAGAACCTAGGGGACTCTCTTTATCTGGTAAAGGGCCTAAGTAGTAGGAAGCCAGGGATACGAGAGGAAAGCACAGTATTTACCCCTCTGTAGTTTTTTAATCCTGAACTTGAAAATTAAGTTTTCCATGAGAAAAGTGTGTGTGTGTGTGTGTGGGGGTGTGTGTGTGCAAGGATATGGTAAAACGAAATCCTGTTGTCATCTGCAGAGGATGTATGGGGCTCAGGCAGGCTAGCACTCAGGGCAGTTCAGGTACATGACTCAGAATTCCCAACAGGGAGCTGTGTCTGCCACGCTGCCCCTGAGGCAGGAGAACACACCTTGTAGATACCTGCTTAGTCACTGTGGCTTTGCTACCACAGGCCCAGTGGGCTTCCCCTCTCCTGCCTGTAACCACATGGTTCCAGAGACAAAGAACAGCAATGATGTCTCCAGGTCCCCTGGGGGCTCTCGGTGGGTACAGAGATGAGGACACTGACCTCAGCATGCTGAGCCATGGTGCTGGCCTCCACTGCGTAAATTTTCCTGGCTCCTGCTTGAGCAGCAAAAAATGACAGGATCCCAGAGCCACAGCCCACGTCGAGAACAATCTGAGAAAATGATATGTGTATGAGGCTACAGATGTGCCAACCACCACACACTATGCCCATCATAAACAACATAAACAATAGCAGAACTACTATGTGTCAACAAAAGAATTGTTTTCAGGGGGCTGGAGAGATGGTTACTCTTCCAGAGGACCCAGGCTCAATTCTTGGCACCCACATTGCAGTTCACAATGACCTGTAACTCCAGTTCCAGGAGATCTGATGCCCTCTTCTCGCCTCCCCAGGCACTGCACGCATGTGATACACAACAAATGCCCACACATAATAAAACAAAACAAAAAGCAATCTTGCACAGTGGCAAATGCCTATAAATCCCAGCAATGACAAGAAGGGGGCAAGAGTACCATGAATTCAAGGCCAGCCTAGACTACATAGTGAGACCCTATCTGAAGATTCAAACACTGCTGATCTGGGAAGAACAGAGGTGAAAACCAGAGAGGTGTTGGAGGAAAGGTCCTGGTGCCAGAAACTCATCGTCCTCGCCCACCCACCTGCCGAGAAGCTGAGAAAGAGCTAGCATAAGGCTGGAGGATGTAATTCAAGCACTTGACAAGTGAAAATAGTGAGTTCAAGGCAAGCCTGTGATACCTCAGACAACCATGTCTGTCTCAAGTCACCTCTCTCCAACATAAAAAGGATAGAGAAAGGAGAAGGGGTCGGGGGGGAGATGTGCCTTCCTTCACACTGAGATCATATATGAGGCAACACTGCATTCACCATGCCTGACCTACCAATACCTCAGCCTTGCCTGGCTGGCGGACACATGCCTATCTACCCCACAGCTGAGCCAAACCATCCAACAGAGAGCCTAGATCATAAAGAGTTGACTACCTTACACTACTGGGAAGACCAGAATGGCCCTGTCCTCCTGACCTCTGCTGTTCCAGCCTCTCAAGTGTTGGGACTCTAGGTACGCATCACCAACCTGGACTGAACAGCAGCAAAAGTATAGGAAGTGGGGGGGGGTGGTGTTGTGGGGAGGGGTGTCCAGGCATGGTGAGGCAGGCTGCCAGAGGCTAAGGGAGGAAGACTGAGCCTAAATGCAGCTTGGACAACACAGTAGGTATTGTCTTACAACACCCCCCCCACACACACACACACAAGCAAAGACACTTCAAAAGGGTCCTATCCTACCTACCCTGTGCTTGGAGGAGGGATGCTAGCTAAGGCCAAGAACATGTGGACAGGTCTTGCTGGATTTTTTCACAAGCCAATTAGCACACCATCAGTAATAGTGCCAGAAAAGCCTGGGTTCTGAGTTCAGTCTGTGGGGATGAGTGGGAGCTAGAAGCTCCAGAAAGCAGTGAGGCCTCCCCCTCTAGTATTGTTCCCAGTATCTTCATCCCATCCTTTGGAATCCTCTGATAAGCTGGCAACCATGCTTCCCTGAGCTCTATGAGCTGCTTGGGTAAACAGCTGTTGTGGGCACCCCAACTCAGAGCCATCTGTCAAAAGACCTGGGAAAGGCAGTTGGGGCTGGACCTTGATATTTAAAGTTGAGGGGTGGGGCTCTGAATCATTGGAGTCCCCAGCCTGTGGGTTCTACCCTTGTTCCTGGTAGATGAAATTAGAACTGAAAGGGATGAGAGAAGGTTCAGCTGGGGTCCACTACTACTGCAGAGCTCAATTGCTCCCCATAGAAGTCATCTGTATGACTAGGAAAGAGGAGTGCCTTCATTATTCTCAGCCCGCCCCCCATTTCCTTGAGAAAGGGACTCAAGGTATAGCCCTGGATGATTTCCAATTTAGAGATATGCCTGCCTCTGCCGCCACACCCAGCTTACTCACTGCTTTATAACACACACATGCAAACATCAACTTCCATATGGAAAGCTGTTTTATTTTTCTGCAACACTAGAATGGAAGGCAGTCTTCTTCATGCTAGGTAAGTATTCCCGATTCCATAGTTGGTGACTCTCCTGGCAACATTTCCTGAGTGCTGGCATTAGAGCTAGGTTCCATATAAAACTTAACGTTTGTTCACTACACCCCACCCAATACAGCTGAGGCAGAAAACAGTATGACCAAAGACATGTATGTTAGAAGAGGCAAAGTGTTCTCTATAGGAAATCAAAGAATGAACATAATTTTAACTAAAAGAAAATGGAGGGCTGACTCAGAACAACAACAGATAGAAAGAAAGGAGGCAGCAGACCTGGAGGCGGCAAGGGAGGCCCCTGGCCCAGCCTCTCGGGGACCAGCAGCCTCTGTTGAGGATGCTTTCCGTCCTGACGGCTCACCTTGTCCTTGAAGTCAGTGTGGTTCTGCAGGATCGCACGCTGGTAGGTGCCTGTCCGCACATAGTCCTGCATCATGTTCTGCTGCTGGGACAGGTAGCCATAAAACTGGAACAGAGACACACCAAGGGAACGTGGCACGTGGCACAACAGACTGCCACAGCCATGGCTGCCCTAAGACAGAGGGAGGGCCTGACAGCATCAACCTCCCTTGGGAGGCCATGTACCCTCCTCCAGCCTGAACCCAACCGACAAGAACCAGCTGCTTCAGAAGTGGGAGCAGGGATCTGAGGAGCAGTCCCCAAGAGGGACTCTTCCACTGTTGTCATGGCTGACAGACACAGATGCCACCTGGACCAGGAGGTCACCCAAGAAATCACAAAATTTGTCATGGCTTGGGTTCTAACATCTAGGGGCCAACTTTCCCATCTTAGGGTCCCAAAAAAGAAGAGGAATGGATGGAACAAAACCCTAGAGCTCAGAGCGCCAGGCAGGTGATGTGCGGTGTCTCTCTGTAAGACAACAGGCGATCAGGAGGCAGCGTGGCACCTGGCAGGGCCACAGGCTTGGGCATCAGGCAGACCTGCTTTCCCATCGTGGCTCTGTTGCATAAGAGCTGTGTGACTTGGAGCAAAGTCACTTAACCTCTCTGAGCCTCAGTTTTCTCATCTGTAAATGGGGACAATAACAGTTGTTGGGAAAGTCCAAGGCGGCGGGCATGGAAGACTGCTGACACAGTGCCTTACACTCACCAAGGGTTTGTGACATTGCTCTAGTTCAGTCACTACTCTAAACACCTGGGGACTTGGGCATCACAGATGAGGAAACTGAGGCCTAGCAGCAAGTGGTGAACACCTGCTGAGGCTACACAGCTAGGAAGGGACAGAGCCAGGATGAGCCCGTGTGGGCCTACTCTGTGCCACGTGACCTCCTGTGGGAAGGCAGGGAGGGTAACACCAGGGGCTGTCTGGCCCAGGATAGGTGCTAACTCACCTGGAAGTACTGCACAGCTGAGGATTCCTCTGTCCGCTCGCTAAACACAGAGCGCTCCAGTGTGTGTCCCCGGCAGGTTTTCAGGATGTTGTAGAAAGAACAGAAATCTGGAAAGGGGGAGCCAGATCACTGGGAGGCCAGTGCTATGGCCCTCTGGGAGAGTCTGAGGGCCTGGGCATTTGCTCTTCCTGTCTGCCTTTTCCAACTTGTCTACTTGGACACATGGGAACTGGTGTCTTCCTTTTCCCCAATACAATGTTCCAATTGAGAAGGAAAGGAAAAGAAGAGCCAAGCCTGCTGCTCTGACTGACAGGAGGGCATGAGTGCGGGTGCATGTGGTGAGGACAGGCTGGGCATTCCTCCCAGACAACAGCCTGCCAGTGTGGGAAGCACCTCACAGTAGCCTCTGGGGATGGCACTGGACACAAGGACAACATCTCAATGTTGAAGAGAGCAGGCGAGTCCTGTGGACCCAGAAAAGCATGTGGAGAGGGTGTCAGCACCCTTCCCTGGGACACAGTGCTATGAAGTTCTTTGAAGTGATTCACACAGAAGTCACTCAGAAGGTGGGGAGCAGAGGGGATCAGCGGCCCACCCCTAGATGAGGACCTATGAACAACTGAGAGCTGCTAGGGGAGGAGAGTTCGTTTTCTCTCAGGGTGTGTGTGTGGTCCCTGGTAGGTAGACCACGTGTCGGTGGGTGGCCTCCCCCTGAAAGCATATGGACAGCACAAATTGGACTGGGTGGATTATACATATTAAAGAAAAAATTAAAGGAGGAGGAGACAGGATGGGGCTTGAATCAGGGAGGAATTAGGGGTGAATGTGTAAAAATACATTGTATGAATGTGTGAAATTCTCAAAGAATAAAAATACATTAAGAAAAAACTTACTTTACCGAGGAACCTAGAAAAATGGCCACCAAGTTACAGACTTTAAAAAGAATAGTGTTAGAGAGCTGGCTCAATGGATACAATCCTTGCTAGACAAGTGTCAGGACTGGAGTCCAGATTTCTAGTCCAGTGATGAGGGGTGAAGATGGGATCCTTGGAGCACACTGGTTAGCCTCCCCAGTTAGCACAGCTGATGAGCTCTGGGTTCAAGTGAGAGGCCCTTTCTCAGTAAATGAGGTGAAGAGCTTCTGGTCTCCATACTCCTATGCACATGCATGCACATGCACCTTAACGCATGTGCTCCTATACACACAAACATACATTTACACACACACACACACACACACACACACACACACACACACACACACACATCACATACACAGATACATGCAAATTAACTAATACTAACTAATTAAAAGCCAGCCAGGAGGCTGGGCAGTGGTGGAGCACACCTTTAATCCCAGCACTCAGGAGGCAGAGGCAGAAAGATCTCTGTGAGTTCGAGGAGTTTATGAAGCTAGTTCCAGAACAGCCAAGGCTACACAAAGAAATCCTGTCTTGAAAAACCAAAACAAACAAAAAAATAAGTAAGTAAATAAAAAAAGCTGAATGGCCAATAGCTAGGCAGGTGGTAGGACTTCCAGGCAGAAAGAGAACTCGGGAAGAAGAAGGTGGAGTGCCAGCCCGACTCGGAGGAAGCAGCACAGGCAGTGCAGAGAGATGAGGTAACAAGCCACACGACAGAAGGTAGATTAAAATACATGGGTAATTTAAGTTTTAAGAGCCAGTGGGACAAACCTAAAGTAAGGCCGAGCTTTCATAATTAATATTAAGTCTCCATGTCACTATTTGTGAGCTGGTGGCCCAATGAAAAATCCAACTAGAACTCCCTGAGATTGAACTAACCCTAGGCCACATCACCTCTAGGATTTGTTATCCATCCATCCATCCATCCATCCATCCATCCATCCATCCATCCATCCATTCATATACATACCTATGGGTATTTTGCCTGTATGTATGTCTGTATACCTGAGGAATCCCTGAGAGGGCTTTGGATCCCCTGGGAATGGAATATCAGACAGTTGTGAGTTGCTATGTGGGCAATGGGAATTGAACTTGTGTCCTCAGGAAGAGCTCTTAACCACTGAGCCATCTCTCCAAACATCCTTCCCTAGCAATTTATTCTATGTGTATGGGTGTTTTGCCTGCATACATGTATTTGCACCACTTGCATGCCTGGTGCACACAGAAGCTAGAAGGAGGTTTCAGATCTCCTCAACTGGAGCTGCAGACAGCTGAGCTGCTGTGTGTGTGGGGAATAGAGCCAGTACTCTTACCTGCTGGGCCATCTCTGCTACCCCTGTCTCCAGACTAATAATCTAATGGGGATGGTAATTCCTGGTGGTAGTATTTCCAACGTATCTTAGCTGGGTGGTAGCACACCCCTTTAATCTCAGCACTCAGGAGGCAGATCTCTGTGAGTTCGAGGCCAGCCTGGTCTACATAGCAAGTTCCAGGACAGCCAAAGTTACATAGAGAAACCCTGTCTCCAAAAATCAACCACAACAAAACCCCAAAACCAAACTGTTTACTTCTTCTTACTGTGTATATTATGTGTTGGAAGCACATGCCATGGCATGAATGTGGAGGTCAGAGGGACTCTGTGGAGTGGGTTCTCTCCTTCCGATCTTGGTGTGGTTTCTAGAGACTGAACTCAGGTCTTCAGACCGCACAGCAGATCTTCAGTTGCTAAACCATCTCTCCAGTCCCTAACACTTCTTTTTTTAAGGATGAATTTGGGGACTAGGAAGACTGTTCAGTGGATAAAGTGCTTGCCATGTAAGCATGAAGACCTGAGTTCAGATCCCCCAAAGCCACATAAAAACCTGATGTAGTAGCATTATGTCTCTCCCTCTTAATGTAGAGATTAAAAAATCCCCAGAAACTTGTGGGTCAGCTAGCTTGAGGTGCTCAGTGGTGAACATTGAGAGATTACATCTCAAGGTAAAAGGTGATGGCAGACATAGATGGAGCTCTTCTCACCTCCACATGCAAGCCAGCACAAGCACACCTACGTTCGCGCGCGCACACACACACACACACACACACACACACACACACACACACACACACACACGAAAATGAAAGGACCGACCACAAATCTGGACTCAGCAGACCCTCCTCCACAGGAACCCATCCCGAGATGTTCCACCCTCCCATGAGCTATGCCGCCTGTGCATGGAGAACTAGGCCACACATGAAAAGACCCTGGGTCAACAGAAAGATTTAAAAAAAAAAAAAAACCAGACAATTAGCCCAGGCTGGCCTTGAACTCCTGGTCCTCCTGCCTCCACCTCCTGAGTGCTGGGACTATAGATGGGGTAGGACTTCAAGCATGTCATACAAGGGCTCACCCACTGAGCTACATCTTAGTCCCTCAAATTTAAAACAAATTTTTTCAATTTTTTGGGGACAATGTCTCCTGTGGCCCAGGCTTCTTCTCAGACTTGCACTGATACTTCTGCCTCTCCTTTTTCCTCTGCATTAGGATCACCAAGAAGGGAAGGAGATGGGAGGGGAGGGGAAGGAGAGGAGGCCCGAGGGTGCTTGAGCAGGTGACAAGGAACAGCTCCACTAGAGGCACGGGTAACCTCCTGGGGAGACGTGCAGGGCTCTGGGAACCAGCAGCCCCTCTCCCCTGTACCAGTCACCAGACTCACCCAGGCACTCCACTGACCAAGTCCTGTCACAGGACATCCACAGGCCTGGTACTGCTTCAAAAACCCCCAAGGTCCCAGCTTTGTTCACCCGGGTTTCCACAAGCCCTCCTCAACAACCTTAGTGTCCTTAGGATGTCCAACAACAGGCCTGCTCAGAGCACCCAGGAGCTTCTTTAACGAGAGTGAAGGAAGGCTCTGCCCACCTCTAGGCCTCATCTCACCCCTCCCCTGGGATCCCAGCTCCAGCTGAGAAGGCTGGCCTCAGGCCTAACCCGACTAGCTCTCTGAGAGGCTTAGGTATGACAAGAGAGTCAGGATGGCCCTTTTGGAGGAAAGGACAAAGAATTGAGACCCAGAGGATCCACAGCAGCCACTGAGGTGCCAGGTCAGGGCATCTGTTTAACACCAAGAATACATTCTTACCGAGGACATATCTCCTCATGGGGCTGGTTTTTTTCCTTCTTCTTTTTTTGGAGCAAGGATCTTGCTATGCTGGCTGCTCAGGCTAGTTTCACACTCTTGTGCTCAAATGACCCCCATGTTCTAGCCTTCTGGGAAGCTGAGACAATGAGCATGTGCCACCATACCCCATACCTGGCTACGGCTATAACTTATACTCTGTCTTTAAGCAGGAATCCTTCCATCTGCCTCAGCCTCCTCAGCAGCTGGAACTACAAGCGCTACAAGTGTATGCCAAGGCATTCAGCATATGAAAGTGCACAGTATGTGTGCATGTGGTGGTGGTGCCTGTGTATGTGGAGGCAAGTGGTCGGGTTTGTGTGTCATTCCTTAGGAATCAATCACCTTTTTTTCTGAGGCAATCTCTAGCCTGGAACTCTGATGAGATTAAGGCTGGCTGGCCAGTGTGAACTGCAGGGATATACCTCTCTCTCTCTCCATCTGAGATTACAAGCTCATGCTGCCAAGGCTGACTTTTCATGTGGTGCTAAGGACTGACTGAGCTCAGGTCCTTACGCTTGTGTGGCAAACACTTCTATTAACTGACCCCATCTCCCAGGCTCCACCATGGAACCAAACACATACCGTGGGGTGTGGCGAACTGGATGAGGACGCTGTTGCAGCCCAGTGTGATGATGAAGGACTGCCTGCCCACACGGCTGCACTCTGTCTCTCGGGACACCGAGCACTTGAACACACACACATCTTCATCTGCAAGAGAGAGACGGATGGCTAGCATGAGCAAAGGTGCCCTGGTGACTGCCTTGCTTTACTGTGTCCCCACCCTCCCCATCCTTTGGGGGTGCCTCATAAACACTTTGAAGGGTTCTGCCTCTGTCTCAGTGAAAAAGAGATAAGGGATGACTGCACTGCAGGGATATTGCCAGGGTCCCCAGGAGATCAGTGTCTCCCAGGGGAAGACAAGCATACTCCCAGGGGAAGAAGACCTGCGCTTCCAGAGACCTCCTGTCCCTGTATGAACCGACAGGTGGGGAGAACGTAGGCATAGCCATCCTTAAGGAAGGGCAGAGAGAGTCTTAGGAAGACACAGACAACTCAAGGATAATGAAGGGGCTGGGGCTTTGGAGTCTTGGTTCTGCCAAAGGTGCATTTGTTCAGGTCCTTCTGAGTTACAAGGGTCGTCACTGGACTTTATAGCTGTCAGAATGGAAGTACCAATGACCCTTTAGGATGGCCCTTTGCTCTCAGGGGCAATGACTGTGTCCTTGGCAGTGGGAGCCACGTGCAACCTATGCTTCTGTGCCACCGACAGCTCCTCAGTAGGATACAGCAAGCCATGTGGCTTGTCCAGGCTGGTGGGGCAGCGACCCAGGGAGCTACTGTGTATGCTCAATTACATAGCCCAGCAGCCAGGAAGCACGACATGGCCATCACAACCATAGTTTCTAGTTATTTGTTCCACAAGAGTCCAGCACGCTGAAGGATGAAGCCAATATCCCCAGGAAAAGGATATACTGTCTGACTGTGCTGCTATCTCACGGCACCTGTGCAGCACTATTCCTGCTTTAAAATTTGTACATTTTATTATTGATATGTAGTGTGTGTGTGTGTGTGTGTGTGTGTGTGTGTGTGTGTGTACACACACCTGTGCATGCTGGCAAGCATGAGGTTAGAGGACATGCCTTCAGAAGTTGGTTCTTTCTTATATGGTATGCCAAAGACTCTGGGAATCAAACTCAGGTTGCCAGGCTTGGGCAATAGCACCTTCTCCCCATTGAACCATCTCCAATGCCCCCAGGAAGTACTTTTGACCTTAACTCATAAATGGATAGCAGACACCAGCGGATACACGGAGTGGACCAGCTTGCAAGACACCCTTCGAGGTCTCCTCAAATGGTCAACATTAGGTGAGAGAAACCACTGAGAACTATTCTAGAGTGAGGGATACAGAAGAGGCAGCTAGTAAGTATCCGATGGACCCAGGCCTGGATCCATTACACTAGATGGATGGTGTGAAATGAGACCCTGGCTCCATGGATCTCAAGTAGCTCAGGCTAACCTGTAACTCTATGCAGCTTAGTATGATTTTGAACTCCCACTTTCACTGCACCGGGTGCTGGGGTTGCAGGTATATACCGTGTGCCTGGTTTATGTGGTGCTGGAATAGAACCCAGGACCCTGTGTGTTGTTAGGTAAGTGATCTACCAACTGAGCTATAGTCACAGCCCCAGAACATCCTTATTCCTAGAACACAAATGCAGCAGTGAGTAAGTTCACTGGACCAATGTTGCTGCTCGCACATGGCTCGCCTAATAAGTAGCAAAACAGAAAACAGAAAAAAGGCTGGTGTAAATGTTGCTGAAGACATGTTTCCAAGCACCCTGAGTAGCCAAAGTAGGGTGAAAAAGAACAATTAGTCAGAGGAGTAATCAGTAATCAAAATAGAGTCTTTGAAAAGAACAAGATAGACCTGTAGAATAGAAACAGAACACAGAAATAAATTCTGCCATTAATGGTCAAGTGACTTCCTACAAAGGTGCCAAAGGAGAGACAGGCATCTCTAATAAGGAACACTGGAACATCTGGACAGTCACTTAGAAAACCATGCAACTAAATTCTGACCTCATACTATAACAAGAGGTAACTCAAATGAATCTGGCCCAAACAAGAGTTCATACTAGAAGACTCTTGGGTTGGTGAGAGTCTCATGACTCAGGGTAATGGCACTTGCTGCCAAGCCTGATCTCCTGAATTCAATCCCAGGGCTCCATATGGTGGAAGGAAAGAACTGACTTCCAAAAGCAGTCATTTTCTGATGTCTACATGTATGCACACACACAAATAAATTTTTTAAATGTAATTAAAAAAGCTACAGGATGAGGATGGAGAGGTGCCTTAGTGGTTAAGAGCACTGGCTGCTCTTCCAGAGGTCTTAAGTTCAATTCTCAGCAATCACATGGTGGCTCACAACCATCTATATAGTGAGATATGATACCAACAGAGCGCTCGTACCTAAAACAAAACAAAAAACAAACAAACAAAACCACCTATACGGCTCTTTGAAAGAAACACAGGGATAAATCTGTGACTTTGATTTTGCAATGGATTCCTCGCTATGAAACTAAGAGCATGGGAACTATAAACTGCAATTTTTATTTTATTTTATGTGCACTGGTGTTTTGCCATGGGAAGTCAGATCCCCTGGAACCGGATTACAGACAGTTGTGAGCTGCCATGTGAGTGCTGGGAATTGAACCCAGGTCCTCTAGAAGAGCAGTCAGTGTTCTTAACCACTGAGCCATCTCTCCAGCCCATAAATTGTAATTTTTAAAAATTTTAAAATTGTAAATTCGTGGGGAGGCTGAAGCATCCCTACTCGGACTAGGAATTTGGGACCAGCCTGGGCAATGTAACAAGATCCTATCTCAAAAATAAAACAAAGTGACCCAGGAGCATGCTTGTTCTTCAGAACTCTAGAACCTGAAATTAGGAGACTCTTGAATTCCAGGCCACATTGAGAACCTGACCTTAAAAAAAAAGGGGGGGAGGGGCGGCGCAGAGCACTTATCTCAAAAGTACAAGGCCCTGGAGTCTATCATAGCAATAAAAAAACCCACAACAAAACAAAAATGAAAATAAACAACTCCAACCCTGTCTATGAGATGTCACTTCTCATAATGTCTACAATTTAAACAGTGACATGAAGCAAGTGAATGGAGAGATGTGGAAGAATGAAGGCCAGCAAACATCTCTAGAGGGGATGTGACCGCCTGACACAGCAACTCTCTTCCAGGTATATCCCCGCAAAGAACAGTAGGCAGAGCTTCAAACAAATGTTGTTTGCACATAGTCAGGTATAGGGACTGCAGCAATAGCCCAGTCGGTCATGAGGCTGAGGCCAAGAGGCTCGCTGAATCTTAGCCTCAAGGTTCAAGGGCCAACCTGGGCAACACAGTAAGAGCTCCAAGAAAGAAGAGAACACGCTGGGGTCAGGGCTGGCTGGTGGAGAGGGTGCTTGCCTAGAATGCAGGGAGCCTAGACTACCCCAGCACAGCATAACGTACATCAAGCAGTAGGAGTGCTGCCCAGCTGTGAAAAGCCTTCAGAGGTTGGAGGCAGGAGGACCAGAAGTGGGAAGGAAATATACACATACAGAGAAAGAGACAAGGGGACTCTTTATCCCCAATAGTCCAAACTAGACACAACTCAAATTCCATCAACTGATCAACAGATAAACAGAATCAGATAATGGTATTATTTCAGCATAGAGAGAAACAGAGTCAAGACCAGCTACAGACTAGAACACTACCAGAAACTACTGTCAGAAGGAGGCAGCCACAAGTGCCGTGCAATAAATACTGCATTCAACGGAGCAGCAGGAAGGGTAAACCGAGGTGGCTGGGACAGACTTTCAGTTGCCAGGGGCTCTGAGAAGGCAGTGGGGGAGCAAGAGCTTCCTGGTGTGGGGTTTCCTTTGAGGTGATGACAGGGTTTTGGAGATAGCTAAAGGTCACAGTTATATAACACCGAATAAGCTCAATGCCACTGCATTGTACTTTAAAATGCTTCGTGTTAGTTTATGGGACTGTCATTTCAACAGAGAAAGAAGACTGATCCCTACCTGACAGTAGGGTGCAAGGAGGCTTACAGTGCACGCAGGGACCCTGGCTCCCATCCTTCTGTCTAGCCTATGGAAGAGCAAGGCTCTGGGGGCAGAGCCTGACTTAAGGCAAGTGTTTTGGCTGTCCACTGCCCTAGACACAGGGACCCAAGGCAAGGTGCCTGGGACCCACCCCTCCTGGGACACAAGATAAAGATGATCTTCGGGGTGGGTCTGTGTGATGATAAGACCCCAGAGTGCTTGTTTACCCAGCTGCCCTGAGTGCTCCTCTACATCCTGGCACCAGGAAGGGCTGTGGCCAGGGCACCCCTGGCTGAGAGATCTGAAAGCACAGATGAAGGAGTCAGCAATCTCTGAGTATCACAGCCAGCCCCCCAGGCCTATCCTCTGAACACAGGAGGCACCAGGAACCTTTCTGATATACCCATGCAAGCTAACAAACCAGCTGCACCACAGCCATCCCCCGTCCCGTTCCGTCCCCCACCTCCCGCTTTAGGTGGCCTGGAGTACAAGCTTGGCTCTGAAGAATTTGCATGGCACATGCAAAATCCTGGGTTCCATCTCTACAAAAATAAACCAAAAGCAAACAAAATGTTCCTTTGGCAGAGGCCACACGCACGCCTAGAACCCCAGCTGGCCAGGTTCATCAGTATCAAGGGAAAGTAGGGTGACAGAGCAGGCCACTCGATGTCCTCCTCTGATCTCCATGCACCTATGTTCCTATGTATACATACCAACAGTAAGACATGCACATACAACACACACACTGACTGACACACACATCCACAGGGGAGGGTTGAGCTGGATGTGTTGGTTCACACCAGTCAAGCTCAGGCCAGAGTTATCATTTCTTTCTCTAGAGTCCCTAAAACTCTAGAAAACAGGAAATGGCAGGTTATATGTGGGAACAGTCCTTGTCTGGGTGGATTCTCAAATGGGTCTCAAATAGAGCACAAAGAATGGGTTCTGAACTGAGTACCCTGGTCCTGGCCATCAGAGCCTGTCAAGTTCTGTGGCCAAGGAATGAGAGTCTAGGGTGACAAGGGACAGCTGTACAGGGCAAGTGGGACACAAACAGATTCCCCATGACAGGAAGACCTTCAAGACAGCCCATGCTGCTCCCTACAAA